TCAGAAAATATTTTCAGGACCCCACCTTGATGTTTCAGGACCCCACTTTGGGTCCCGACCCCAACTTTGGGAAACACTGATCTAATGTGTCAACTTGAATTTCCTTTGTTTTCTGGGCAATCACCTATCCAAAGCTTTTAACATCTTTTTTCCCCTTCTCCCAGCTTGGTTTTAAAATATCCACTGTTGGATGTTCTGGGTTATTTCCTTTGAGGTTGATCCAGTAGTTATCAGTGTGCATTACTATTGTGATTCGTTTCCCATCCAAGTCATTTCCACTTTGGCATGCATCTCCTCCAGTATACTTTGTCCTAGAGCTGCCATTGTAATTTAAATCTGTAAAGCTCCTGTGCCAAATGATTGTTATGCCTTTTGGTGCCTGTACAACCTACAGTTTTTGAAATATTGTTTGGAATCAAATAATGGGAGTCAATGGAGCCTTGTATGCATCCAATACTGCCCCATGCTGTATCTACTCAGTACTGCACCATAGTTTGATAATATTTAAACTCAGTAGTTCAGTGTTTACAATACAAACATGATTGTATTTTAATATTTCACTATAATATTGTTCTAATATTCCTTTATTGTTGTAATATATTGCAGTTTAGGGTCAACAATTGCATTGGCAATATGGCCTCTTTCAGCACACATTCAAACCTAACACTTGGAGTACCTACTGCAACAGCTCCTATAGTCTCGTGGTGAACACTATGGGCTTTCATGTGGGAGATCAGGGATCAATCCCAGCTATAAACAAAATGTGTAATTTAAACTACATATTTTCTAATTGTCATATTCTCACACAACTACCCTCATTACAAACAACTGCTGACTTGGCAGGCACAAGCTGGTACTTGAATAAGTTGACATCTCTTCAGTTCCTTCAAAAATATTTATGAAATTGCTCTATTTTAAAGGAAAAAAATTGTATAGGTCCTCTGGACGGGTTCTTCTTTAATGAAACGTTTCGTCTCTCTTCCAAGAGACTTCTTCAGTCTGAGAGTTTNTGTTGTGTTTTATGGTGGTTGGCAAACAACAGAAGGTGTGCATTACCGCCACCTACTGATATGGAGTGTGGGTCAAAAATGTTTTTATGTGATGTTGCTTATATACTTTTTTCTAACTTAGTTTTTCTAAATAAAAAAAAAGAAACTTAAAACAATCTGTACACTTCTTGTTTCTTTTGTAATATATTTATTATATTAAATGCTTCTTTGATTTTCCCTAATTCCTCTAATCCATCTTCTGTGTTCATATTCCCTGCAGACTAAAATGACATGTTCTATAGCTTCTTCTTGCCCACAGTGCTCACATTGACCTGTTTCATGTTTTTGGATTTTGTATAATGTGTTGTTCAGTGCAGTGTGTCCAAATCTAAGTCTGCTTATTAATCTTTCTTCTCTTCTGTTCCTTCCTCCTGTTCTCATTTCTSCCACTTGTCTCTGAATCCTGTAAAACCAACTTGCTTTGTTATCTTGTTATCTTCTTCCCGTATTTTTGCCATTGCTCCTTCAGTTTTTGTTTGACAGTAGATCTTACTTCTTACTTATTTATATTCTGAAGCTAATTTGATCCTTTGTTGCTTGTTTTGCTGCTCTGACTGGTGCTTCATTCCCTCTTACCACTATATGTGCTGGTATTGTTGTGGAAAAAGAAAAGTTGAACAAAATGCAAAAACACGTGATCAAAGAAGTTCTTCGRTACAATGGTCTCTGAGTAATTTATTGCAATAAAATGAGAGTCAACATGCACACCGCAATACAAGTTGAGTCTGAAGACACAGTCCCAGTGAAACACCTTTATACCCTTAACAGAAACCAGTTCRAAAAACTGGTTATTTCTGACATGCGAGGAGTTGTTCTGTATTTGATCAGCAAAAATTAAAAGTTGTAATTTGTTCTGTGGTCTTTAGACGAAGGAGAAAGCTCTCTTTAAAACAGTTAAGAATGTAGTAAACAGCTTAAAATGTGGTTACACTTGCTATTTCATTGTCTCTRATCTGTTCACATTCCAATAGTAAAACACAAATAGTCCCGTGATTCAGTTGTGCAGAAACTAGGCCGTGTGTGTGAGAGGTTTAACTGGCTATATAAACTTACAACATCAATCGACATGATTCAGCATATAATATATTTGTAAGTAAAACAACAAAAGAAACATAAGAGAAATACATTCAAAACTTGAATACGTAGATGACAATTTCATTTTCCTTCACAGTTTCCATTTAAAGTTTACTATCATTTGTATTCTCAGTAATGTTTGTTGTATTTCCAATAATCTGAATAACTGTTCTGCAAACTTAAGATTGTTGAGCTTGAATCTGAACGGATGATTGTTTTTAATGGTCTTGTCTCTTCTACCCACTGCACTGCCAACAACACTGCCAAAATCTCCCGTGTGTACTGATACTTGGTTCGTCATTCTTTTCTTTATTTCTATTTTGAATTCCGGTATTAAGTATGCCACACCTACTTTTTCTGTTGTTG